AGAACCTAAAACCCAAAAACATGGTACAATCTAACAGAGACTATACTAGTAATTGAAACGAATAAACCATTACTCCACGATTCAGCTGATTATTCGACGATCCATCGCTGAATGAATCTCTAATACCACCATGGCCGATCCCTCCCTTACTATAGTAGTCACTCGCGACCACAAAGATAGGCGCACCAGCCGAGAGGCGGCCATCAAATTTCCAAGCAGTGTACGAAGACGGGACGAACTCCTTGGCGGAAGGATTCAGTTTCGACAGGAAATCCACCAGATTCCTCACGTCTCGCTGGTTCTCCGTCTCCGCCTCTGATGGCGCATGCGACTGGCAGCCGATGAACTTATCCTCCGACCCGACCGCGTTCTCCGCCACCGCACCCATTTATTTCCTCAAACAGCAATAAGGAGGACAAAAAACAGCTGCAAAAAATTCTCGAAAGCGGTCGATCGATCAAGGAAAAGAAGCAAATCGAAAACAATTGATCGCAACTGTCAGCAAAGTCTCCCTCTCTCTCTCTTATGAGCTATATTTGGATTGCTAAGGAAGAGATGGAAGGATTCGATTTGGAATCGAGAAGAGAGCGAGAGAGATGGAGGAAGGAGAGGCGTGATGACTGGACGGTTAGGTGAAATCAAGCCGGCCATTTATTGTATTGCTAAATTGGAATTTACGCCTAATTATTTTTCTTTCACGTATTTTTATTTTTTGATAATAAATTAAATGGATAAACATTAAAAAAATAGACAAATGTAATTTTTGTATTTTTAAATTTTTTATTTTGTTAAAAATAGAGACAAATCACAATGAATTATTTTAAAATAAAAGAAATATGCCTCTAAAGTTTTTTTTTTTACTTTTATTCTGTTAAAAATAAATAAATGAAATGGTTGGACATGAAAAACTAATAAAAATAATTTTTGCACTTTTTTTTTTGAAGATAGAAGCTTAGAAATAATATTGGAAGGGATTATTTTCCATGGAGATTTATTTTATTTGTAATGTTGGTTGTTGCACAATCACTGTGGATAGATATTAGTGTGTGTATATATATACCCTATGAGATTACTTGGTAGGTGAGGAACGTTTGTTGAGGTTTGAAGCAGTCGTGTGTTTCCATATTGACTCGGAAAGTTGGGGTTGTTAGAATCAGATCCAATCAATGCTCGTTGGTTGAATTGGTAATTCAACGAGACAAATCACATGTTTAATAATAAAAAAATTAATGATAAATTACAATAAATTATTTATTTTAATTTATAAAAATATATAATTGTAATAGGGACGATGATAAGAAAAAAAAAGAAAAGACTATGAGGAAGAGAAAATAATATAAATATATTAGATAATAGATAAAAAGTTCAAATACGATTTGAAGTCTTCGTTCTTATCTCAAGAGAATTATATTCTCCGGGCCAAGGTCTGTCATACTGAATATATCGTTCAAACAATGCATTGTAGTAATGCTACAATGCTCGGTGTACTTGGATATACCGTTTGGTACACCTAGATGTACTACTCGGTACACCATACGGTATGGTATGGTATTGTGAACCTTGCTCCAGGCAATGTTTTAGTAAAAAATAATCAACTTATTTTATTTTTTTATGTGAATTTTATATGAAAAATATTAATTTTTCATGTCTATGTAACTCTAATTATCATTATACAAGTTATTCTTTATAGTTAAAATTATGAAAAGATAAAATTATGTATGATCTCGTATTGATGGAAGTTTGGATATATCTTTTTTTCTTTTATTATACTCGAGAAAAAAAAAATAGTATCTAACCCATAAAATCATGGATTTGATCAGACTTTTCATAAAAACTTCCACAAAAATATAACATACATTTATTTTCGTGCAATATCCTGGATCCATGTATAGATATATCTGGTTTACAAGAACACCAACTTTTAGCCTTATATATTTGTTTAAACATATAAGTAATAATCATGCTGCATCTAATTGTTTGAGCTTTGTTAGAAATGAAAATGATAAAAAAAATTAATATAATATTAGATTGGATTAAAGTAAATCACATTTAATTATGCACCCATATTCATTTATAGGATAAGATAGGCAAAAAAAAAAAACTCTTATAAAGAGATATATCGTCTGAGTCATATATATATATATATATATATATATATATATATATATATATATATATATATTATACATGTGACAATTCATTAACGATAGTATATTTATCAAATTTTTATATGTCAGTCTTAATCTTTTATACTCGAGCCCTCGTTCAATTATGTCTTTCTATCTATGAATAACTATTTTCTACTTAGCCCCTAACTCTAATATCAAACGGCAAGTGACTAACTAAATTATTAGTAAAAATAATTAAGTTAAAATTAATAGTAATGTACTCATTAGATAATCAATTGTAGTCTTATCTATTTTTAATGTAGAACTAATCGATGTATTATAATTTTTTAAATTCAGAAGTTTGACGTCCTCGTGAAGATCCAACATAACCCAAGTTAAACTAGAGATGTAGTCGAGTGCTAGCTTTATGTCTTGACGGGTCACTTTGTTCACAGATAATCCTTTCATACTCGAGGTTTTTCATTATGTCAAAATATTATATCGATTTTGATATTGAACGTGACGACTCTAATGGGTTAATTTTGTCTGACTCAAACAATTGATCAAGATGTCTAAATTAAAATATATAATAATATATTTATCAAACTTTTATAAGTCAATCTAAGTCATATTAATTAGTCTAAGATATCCGATACACGTAACTATAAATATTATTATCCTAGCAATTATCCAATATTTTTTTTTAATCATACAGATATTGAATGATCAGATTATGCCCACAAATTCATTTGTCAATCCTAAAAGTTTGGAGTGGGGCAAAGTGAAATAAATGCTTCAAGGACAATATGATTATAAACCTTTTGCTAATTACATAAGATAATAATAATAAAAGCACGCAACAAACAAGAAAGAACAAACTGTGTTGGCTGCACTGATTTGTGGTGTCACTTTAGATGATTCAAAATGTCAACCAGATAGAAAAGGGAGAACAAAAGGATTCACCAAACCGCGAGATAGTTTTCTCTGTCATTCCAAAATCAATGTATGTGCCCATGTTCCAGCAAACACAAGTACTAGTCTTGATGATTACTATGATAGATTAATATATATATAACACCATGATGACTTCTTTATCTTAGTTTATGTCATTCTCAGCCACAGTAGGGTGCATGTGAAGCCTACCTCCCCTCGCAAGCATTTCTTTTGTTCTAATTCTTGACTGTCTCATGAACGACAAGACATTGCCATATATATTATCAAGAGTTGACGATAGCATTCTTATCATCTAACGTACTTCTTATTAGCAAAAAGAATTCTTGATGATCTGAGTTAAATCCTCAATTCGATTAATCCATTGAATAGTATCACAAGTGAATATTTTGTGTATAACATATTATCTCCACAAATCATACATTTATAGGCAATGAGAGATTAAGAGTATGAACATAGATAGAAATCATGAGGTAGGATTCATTACATGATAAATTGGGTTATACGCTCGCTAAAAGTTAGGAAATGATTTCATCATAGCATGAATACAATTTATAATAAGAATTTTACTTAATCTATGTGTAAATTATTAAATAATTTCATGAGGGAAAAGGCAAATGCACACCATGTTTAATATATCAATTTATTACAGTAAAAACATTAATGTTGATTAGTTTACATGATCAATATATTTAGGATGTGAGATGACCAATATTTCAATAGATAGGGTATAGTCAATCCAATTCATCTAGTGAGTAAGGAAGAATAATGTTATTTGAAATATTTTTTATTCGAATATAGAATGTCTTGAATATAGAATGGGCCATTGAATATAATAATAATAATAATAATAATAATAATAATTTTTTTTTGAAACAATTTAAAGCTAAAATTGAAGACAGTATATTTTGAGGGTGTAGTTAACTTAGCTGCATTCAATCACATATTCATTAGCTATCTTCTTAAAAAAAAAATATTTTTTTATAAAAAAACAAATTATAAAAACATATTCACATATTTTATTACCCTCTTATAAAAAAAAAATCACATATTGATAATTTTTTGTTGTTGGTAATATCTAACTACTACATGCAACCACTAAAAAATAATAAAAATAATTTTATTAAACACAACATCATAATTATCAATCATAATATCATTGTTCCATTAACATCTTAATTATTATTATTTTATATAATCTATTTCATTCATCAATCAATCATCTGTACGTTAATTGTCAGAATCTTGATGACACTCTTCGACCATCTTTAGGGATCAAGAGATGGAGAATAATAATAATAATAATAATAATAATAATAATAATTGATATGAAAGTTGAAAGGAGTCGATTAAGTGTTAAAATTAAATGATAAGTTAGAACATTTACATGTACTTATATTCTTAAAATGAGATTATAGAATAATTATGCATGTCACTTTCTTTGGGTCCTCATCATGGCTTGTCATTTTCTTTCATCATCAATAATTATGGCATTTACTGCATGAAATCGGACATTTGGTGTCCCCAATGTGGACAAATTGAAGACGTACATCCCCAATTCCAATTATATTATTAGGAACAATCCCTGTCACGTAGTCTACGTCCACACCACTAGCCATCGCCTACCAAACACCCATCCCTCTCTCTCTCTCTCTGTATTACCGCTGTCTTTAACTTCGCTGCTATTACAGCCAAAGTAAAACCCGACCGACCGGCTCTGATCACTGCGTCTGCAAATCTCTGTCTCCGCTCCAACCCATCCCACCCTCATATCCTCCCTCCAATCATTCTCTCCGATCCTTCTCCTGCTTCCAAAGCCTCGTACGGCCGATCCCCCCTCTCTCTCTCTCTCTTCCTGACCTCTCTGTCTGGTTTCGAGATCAGTAGGAGAAGGGGGGGAGGGGGAGGGGGGGGG